TTTGCCCTAAATATTCCAGCATGCATCTCCTCTGAATAAAGCTATTGTCTTGCATAAATATATCATTATCCCATCTAACAAAATTAACAATAATTCCTATATGTCATCAACACCCAGTTTCAAATTTCTCATTGTCCCAAAATGTATTTCGTAGTTTCTCCTCTCTCCTTCTTTCCTTCTTTCTGCCTCGTTTCTTCTCTCCCTCACACCCTTTCTTTTTATTTTATTTATTTTTTTGAGACAGGGTCCCTCTCTGTCACCCAGGTGAGCATGCAGTGAGCATAATCTCAGCTCACTACAGCCTCGACCTCCCAGGCACAAGAGATCCTCCCAGCTCAACTTCCCAAGTAGCTGGGACCACAGGCTCATGCCACCATGCCTGGCTAGTTACTGTGTTTTTGTTGTTGTTGTTGTCGTTGTAGAGACAGGGTTTCCCATGTTACTGGCTGGTCTCAAACTCTGGGCTCAACAATCTGTCCACCTTGGCCTCCCAAAGTGCTGGAATTATAAGCATGAGCTACCACACCTGGCGCCTCCTTCCCTCCCTCCCTCCCTCCCTCCCTTCCTTCTTTCTTTCCTTTATTCCCTCCTTTCTTTTATTTTTTAACCAGGATCGATCTAGGTTCATGCACTGCATATGGGTATTTCTTTTGAGTCTACATAGACCACTTGCATAGACCACTTTTTAATGACTTCAACTTTCTTAAGAGTCAAGTCGGCCGGGTTCAGTGTCTCACGCCTGTAATCCTAGCACTTTGGGAGGCCAAGGTGGGCAGATCACTTGAGGTCAGGAGTTCAAGACTAGCCTAGCCAACATGGTGAAACCCCGTCTCTACTAAAAATACAAAAATTAGCTGGGCATGGTGGCATGTGCCTATAATCCCAGCTACTTGGGAGGCTGAGGCTAGGAGTGCTTGAACCCTGGAGGTGGAGGTTGCTGCCCTCCAGCCTGGGTGGCAGAGTGAGACTCCGTCTCAAAAAAAAAAAAAAGAAAAGAAAAGAAAGAAAAAAAGAGCAAGTCAGTCCATTGTCTTATACAATGTTCTCATTCTTAATTTAGTTATTTCCTTGTGATGTCACCTAATTTGTTCCTCTATCCTATTTATTTCCTGTAAACTGAGAGTTAGATCTAAAGGCTTGATTAGACCCAGGCTACATACTCTTGGCAAGAATCTATTATGAGTAATACCGTACACTTCACAAGCACCAGTTGCTCCACTTTTCCTTGGATGGATGGGATTGATGGATCGGCGGAGTGATTGTTGAACATCTTTATTGTAGAAGAATTAGTCCCCTTGTGATTTGCAAGTCAGTTGTGGCATGCTGGGTGGCACCTGCCATGAACCTAGGCAGGATTTTGACAGACCATTCCAGGCAGAGGTGAAAGCCTCACCAAGGTGGAAGGGACAGGACGTATTCAGGGGTGGGGAATGGCCCAATGCCATTGGCTCCAATAGAGGCTGCAGCTGGGCCCAACTGCAGAGAACTGTGAGCGGAGTGAAGAATGAGAATGCTGTTCACAGGCTGGAGAGAGCTGGGAAGGTCTTGGGCTGAGGATAACCAAATGCTGATGAGAAAAAAAAAAAAAAAAAAAAAAAAGAGTAGCACTGGACGCAAAAAGTTTCTCTGAGGTGGGGAGTGGTGAGAATGGGGGTGTCCTTGTCCTCACCTTCCCTGAAACCCTCAGGTGGCAAGACCCTGTGCCCCAGGAGCAGGGAGCCTATGCCTGTTCTCTGGGGACACGAGGACTCCCCCAGCCCGGAAGTAGCACAGAAACAGCCCTGGAGAGGAGGATGGGGAGATCAGGGCACTCCTGCAGGACAGGGTTGGAGAGGATGGGCATGACCGGGAACCACCCCTGCACCGCCACCTCCAGGGCCCCTGGGCCCACCCCACACCCAGTTCTCCCAGCTTATCTTTTCTGGCCAGCAGGAGGGTTGCCATGGGTGCTTAGCATTTCCTCTGCCTGTGACCACATTGGCTGCACCAGAAGGAAGAGGCCTGGGTCCCTGAAATGACCCACGTGGAAGGTTGCCTAAGACTGAGAATGCCTGATTAGACTTGTGTGAGAAGAAATAGCCTCTGTTGAGTTGAGCCACTGAGATTTGGAGGTGTTCGTTTGCAGGCGTGTTTCCACAACCTCCCTCCCTTTCTCAGTGTCTGCCCGTGCGGCGGGAAGGTGAAAGGCTGAGTGGTTGGTGAATTTATGCTGCTGAAGGCAGGCGTGGGGACTGCTTTGCTGGTTTATAAAATCCTCCCGACAGCGGCTCCCAAGGTGGGCTGGGAACTCTGGGACAAATGTCTGGGCTTCCTATCAGCACCTGTGCAGCCACTCCAAAGGCCCTTGTCCAGCCTAGACTCCCACCACTCACTGGGTGACCTCGGGCAAGTCACACTTCTATTTCAACGTGAAGACTTCCCCAGTGGGATAGGGGATCAATGGTGTCCCTTGCCCCATCTCACAGGGACAGCAAATCCCGGGAAACCAAAGCAGACACTATTTTTAAAGTTTATTTTCCAGAAATCCTGAGAGGCAAGGACAGGACAGGAGGAAAATCCCAGGATGCTTGAGGGTCACGTTCATGGGCAGTAGGGCAGATTATAGTCCTCCTGGTGCCTGCGGCAGGCAGGTTAACTGGGCTTGGGAGGACACAGGCCCTCGATGACACTGAGCTGTATGCCTAGGCAGTGTCACTCCCCACACTTTCAACCTGAGCCCCACAGCAAGCCTATAAGATGGACATTCTCACTGTGATTTGTCAGGCTGGGTTCAGGGAGTGAAATGGCCTCCTCCAGTTCCACAGCTTCAAATACCCGGCAGAAGCTGACACCAGGCTCCTCAGAAAGGACCAGGCACTTGTAACATGTATGTCCCTTTACCTGGGACACTGCTGTCCCATACCTGCCCGTATAGAAAGAATATTTCTCAGAGGGAAGAGGAAGCCAGGCGTGGTGGCTCGTACCTGTAATCCCAGCACTTTGGGAGGCTGAGCCAGGAGGATCGCTTGAGCCCAGGAGTTTGAGACCAGCCTGGTAACATGGCAAAGCCCGTCTCTGCAAAAATCAGCCAGAAGGCAGAGATAGACCCAAATCCCAGTCTTTAGCCTGTCTCAACCACCTGAGAATGGTTTCTACCCAGGATTCCTTCACTCAATTACACCCCACTCTTTGCCTCCTGCCACAGAGAAGAGAGAGAAGCGCGCTACCCTACCACAGCCAGCTTCCTCCCAGGGCCAGGAAAGCTTCACCTTGTCCCCCTCTCACACAGTTCCTAAAATTCTTCCATTCATCCATTTGACCTCTTAAATATTTACTCTGTTTTCAAATACATATATAACTCAACTTATAATACCAAGCCAAGGGTACTCATTCACACCATAGCATGAATTTGACCTCAGCTATTTGGGGAAGAGAGGCAGGAAAGTGGAATGGGGGTACTCTAGAGCCAGGCCTGGGTATTGGAGGTTGGAGGACCATCAAAAAAAAAAGCCTGAGGGGAGAAGGAAGTGTAAGCAGACTGTGACACATAGCTAACGGGAAGAAAGCTACAGGAGTCTCCTATTAGGAAAAAGGGGAGCCAGGTGTAGTAGCTCGTGCCTGTAATCTTAGCACTTTGGGAGCCCAGGAAGGTGGATCACTTGAGTCATGAGTTCAAGACCAGCCTGGCCAACATGAGCCCTGTCTCTACTAAAAATACAAAAATTATCCAGCCGTAGTGGCACACCGTACTGTAATCCAGCACTTGGGAGGCTGGGGCAGGAGAATCACTTGAACCCAGGAGGTCGAGGTTGTAGTGAGCTGAGATCACGCCGTGCATTTCAGCCCAGGCAACAGAGTGAGACTCTGTCATAAAAAAAAAAAAAAAAAAAAAAAAAAAAAAAAAAGTGGTGGGGGAAGAGGCCAGGCGCTGTGGCTCACGCCTATAATCCCAGCACTTTGGGAGGCTGAGGTGGGCAGATTACCTGAGGATAGGAGTTCGAGACCAGCCTGGCCAACAAGGTGAAGCCTCGTCTCTACTAAAAATACAAAAAATTAGCCGGGCGTAGTAGCGGGAACCTGTAATCCCAGCTACTCAGGAGACGAGGCAAAGAGAGAATCACTTGAGCCCAGGAGGTGGAGGCTTCCAGTGAGCCAAGACCGCACCATTGCACTCCCAACCTGGGTGACAGGCAAACTCCATCTCATCTCAAAAAAAAAAGGGAGAGTGGGGAAGAAGGTGAATCTGGGCAAATTTGGGGCTTCACATTGGCCAGCTGGCCCCCTTTCAGTGACCTTAGATCTCTGTATTGATATCTAACTGCCTTTTGGCAGAGAGGGAGGGTCATTAGTTTTATTGATTTTGTCTGCAGCCACTTTCTGGGCTCTGATTCTGAGCTGGGGCCTGTCTGCAGTGCTCTATGCTAGAGCCCGGAGACCAGAGTAACTTAGATATAAACCTTGGTCAACTAGTGGGGAGGTGGGAGACAACCCCAAATCCCAAGTCTGGGGAGACTGTGACTAAGGTTGTTAAGAGAGGACAGAGGGCCAGGGCGTCAATACATGAAATGGAATTACCAGCTGCTTGGGCGAGCAATGCCTTGGAGGGCTGGTGGGGCTACACCTGTGCAGGTGGTGGGACTTTCTGGAGTGTAAACCTTTATCCCAGGCAAAGAAGACCCCAGAAGTGGGATGTGTAGTATGGGTTTGGAGGTGAGGAGCTAGAACCCAACATGCATGAAGGAAGTGGGCAGGCTGGAGACAGAGATGGAACCCAGATCCAGAAGGCTGCATGCCAGGCTTGGGAGCCCTGACTCCAGCTTAGGAGCAGTGGGAGTCATGGAAGGGTTTGAGCAGAATCGCTGATGGGAACAGGACACTCTGGCTGCAGGGAGGGCAGAGGGGATGGGTTAGAGGGTCAGGGGATATGGGAGTGACAGCACGGAGGTGACAAGGGTGACAGCCACAGGGATGGAGATCAGGAATGCAGAGAGAGTTGGCACAGGCTTCGGCCGGAGCAGCTGTAATGGCAGGGAGGTAGGGCTCCTGAGCCTTCCTGGAGGAGCCGAGGCCATGGTCATCAGAGTAGGCTCTTCATTGGCTCAGCTTATTGAGAATCATCTTCACCCAGGGCACTCTGGGATCGGCACAGATCTCCTTATCCCTGGAGGTTAGCAACCTGGAAGGAGACCCCAGAACAATGCAGCAACATTAGCACGCAGCAAGGAGGCCACACCCTCAGGAACTTAGCATTTATGAGCCACCTGCTTTATGCAGGGCCTCTCCAGTATTTATAGTCACCTACTGCATTGACATTACCTGCTAAATAGAGTGGTTCAAGAATTTCACGGAGTCATGAACAGTGTGAAAGAATATTTCTCAAGAGGAAGAGGAGGCCGGGAGCTCACGCCTGTAAACGCAGCACTTTGGGAGGCCGAGGCAGGAGGATTGTTTGAGCCTGGGGTTGAGACCATCCTGGGCAACATGGCAAAACCCTGTCTCTACAAAAATGTACAAGTCAGCCAGGCATGGTGGCATGCGCCTGTGATCTCAGCTGTTTGGGAGGCTGAGGTGGGAGGATTGGCCGGGCTCAGGACATCGAGGCTGCAGTGAGCCCGGTCTCTGCCCACTGTACTCCAGCCTGGGCAACAGAATGAAACCATATGTCAAGAGAAAAAAAAAAAGGAAGAGGAGCAGCAAGGACTTGGGACCACTCAGCTCTTTAGTCCCGGCCTTGAGTTCCAGGTGAGGCCATGAAATAGAATCCCCAAGAGTTGGAGTGTTTTTGTTTTTTTTTTTTTAGATGGAGTCTCTGTCACTCCAGGCTGGAGTGTAGTGGTGCGGTTACGGCTCACTGCAACCTCCACCTCCCGGGTTCTGTCCTCCCGGAAGTAGCCGGGATTACAGGTGCCCACCACAACGCCCAGCTAGATTTTGTATTTTTAGTAGGATGGAGTTTTCACCATGTTGGCCGGGCTGATCTTGAACTCCTGACCTGGTGTCTGCCTGTCTCAAACCTCCCAAAGTGCTGGGATTACAGGTGAGCCACCTCACTAAGCCAGAATCCCAAGAGTCTTATAATACGCTGAACTACTCTGAGCCTCAAAATACATTCTTTCCTAGGAGTCCCTTCTGGCTCCAAATCCAATGATCACATATGATTTGATTGATTGATTGATTTTAGAGACAGGGTCTCACTCTATTGCCCAGACTTGTCTTGAACTCCTGGTCTCAAGTGATCCTCCCAACTTGGCCTCCCAAAGTGCTGAGATTACAGGTGTAAGCCACTGCACTCCAGCTTTTTTATCAAAAAGAGAAAGAAAAAAGACAGAGTCTCAGTAAGTTACCAGATTGACACTCAAAATCCAGTTCAGGCAATCCTGCCTCAGCCTCCCAAGTAGCTGAGAGGCACTACCGTGCCCAGCAATTGAGCATCTATTATGCGCCAGACATGGAGCTCTTCACCTTCCTCTTACATTACTGTGCCCTGTAACAAACGCTCAAGGCCCTAACCTCCTGTGTGCTCATTTCCTCACCTGTGAAAAGGGGTCATGATGGCATCTGCTGCATAGGATTGTTTCCAAGAGGATTAAATGAGTTCATATTTATAAAAGTGCTTACAACAGTACTAGCACTTAGCAAGCACTCTCTATGTGTTTGATAAATACAAATAAGTCAAATAAGTAAAGGTTATTACTTTATTATGCTGTTAGAAACTGAGGCTCAGAGTTAAAGAGAAGAACTCTGGGAGGGCTTCCTGCTTCAGGCTTCTTTATTATTCACCTGCAGATCCCTCTAAGAGATGGTGTCAGCAATAAGGAGGAGGAAGACGAGAAGATAATAGAGGCCTAAAGCGGGTCATGAGTCCCTAAACCCAGCCTGCCCCGCTGTGTGATTTGGTGGACAGCAGGCTCTGAGCAGTTGGAGAAGCAGCCAGAGAGGCTACCGCAAGAGGGGCAGGACCGTCCACCCAGTCAGGTGCAGGTGCAGGCTACAGGCCAGGGAAAAGGAGGCAAAGAAGCCAGAGAAAGAAGCAAAGGAGAACAAGAAACTCAGGAGAAAGCCCTGAGCAGGGACCAGGAGTGAGTTCTGGCTCCAGCCTGGGCAGCCTTGAGCAGGTCACTGTCCCTTGCTAAGCCTGTTTCTCCATCTCTACCATGGGAATCGTTGAACCTCCTCCTTAGGATTGTTGTGAGAATTAAACCAATTAACACAGGTAATGATCAGAACAGTGCCTGGCACTCGGGAGGCACCTTGGAAATTTTAGCTCTTAATATTATTCTTCCGGTCAAAATGGGTTGCCTCGGACTTCTGGAACCTGGAGGATCAAGACACTTCTGGTGTGAGCTTTTTTTTTTTTTTTTTTTTTTTTTGAGACAGTGTCTCGCTCTGTTGCCCAGGCTGGAGTGAGGTGGAGTGATCTCGGCTCATTGCAACCTCCACCTTCTTCCAGGTTCAAACGGTCTCCTGCCTCAGCCTCCCAAGTAGCTGGGACCACAGGCACCCCACCACACTCAGCTAATTTGTGTTTTAGTAGAGATGGGGTTTCACCATGTTGACTAGGCTGATCTCGAACTCCTGACCTCAAGTGATCTGCCTGCCTCGGCCTCCCAGAGTGCTGGAATTACAGGCATGAGCCACTACGCCTGGTTCACCATCATTTTGCCCAAAACCTGGGAACATCTTTGCTGACTCAGTGTGGCACTAGGCATACTCCTATACCTGCTATGCCCAAATACCTAGATGCCACAGCTACTGACGGCCTACTGCCATGCCCACACTATGGCCACACCCTATTCACTCAGCTTGGCATCCTCAGAACCGGACACGTTGCCTGGCATCTAGTAAGCACCTGATGATATTTCCTAAATGATCACATTATTTTTGTTTGTAGTACACCCAAGCCTGAACTGAGCCATCTCTTCCAGCCAAGCCATCCTGGCAGGCATCCACATTAACCCTGCTACATCCTCTCATCCTGGGTGTGTCCCATCCAGCAGCCTAGGCCATCCCAGGCTGGCACCGTCAGACCCACCAAGACCCTGCGGCCCCAGCTTCCTACTCACACCACGCCAGGCCTCGGGCAGGAGTCTGAGGTCCAGTAGAAGTGTTTCACCTGCGCAGGGCATACGGTATGTGACGTAATCACGGCAGCAGGCTGTCGCCATGTTAGCGCCGTAGGGGCCTAGCGGAGAGTGCCAGTGAATTCACAAGCTGGAGCCCAGAGTGCCCTCGGCCCCGGCGATCTCGGCCTCTCGGGCTCAGGAAAGCGATACAGTTTTTCTGTTCTCATGTGGAAGGATGGTGACCAGAGGATTCTGAGCCCTCCAAGATCCTACCCATGGAGCTTCTGAGAAGCCACTTACGGTCTGATGTCTACACTCTGGGACAGTCAGCTCTAGGAACAGGGATTCAGAACAACTAAGCATCAGCTGTACCCCAGATAGGACTCAGTGACTCTGAGCCACAAAGGTGTAGATCCTTGCTGTTCAGGTAAGGTCCATGAGTCCATGGCATCAGGCGTCACCTGGGAGCTTGTCAGAAATCTCAGCCCCGAGGCGCCAGACCTGCTGAATCCGGTGTGCATTTTGACAAACTCCCCAGTGATCCATCAGCACATGGGCACTTGAGGGAGTCAGCTTCTGCTCATATGTGTGCAGTGGGAAGCCTGCGGTCCACAGAGGGAGGGGCACTTGCCCAGGATCACACAGCAAGATGCAGCAGAGTCAGGACGAAGGCTCAACAGAGGACAGTCACATAGACCGGGTTAGAGCCCCGCTTTCCCCTGACTCACTGAGCCACCCTAGCCAAGTCATTGAATCCTCCTGAGGCCCAATTTCCTCTACATCTGACCAAGGGGGTAGTAACAGTACCAGCTTCAGAGGGTGTTTAATGCATGAAAAGCGCTCAGAAAGCCCAGCAGCTGGGAGCCATTCTTGTTTATAGCTGCCCCACCCCACTCCAGTGCTCACTCCTCCACCCAACACAGCACAAGCATAGAGTGGGGTAGAAGGGTCAGGAACCCATACTGAGGACAGGTTCTGGACAAAATTGGATAGTGAGCCCAGGCGTAGTGGCTGCGCCTGTAATCTAGCACTTAGGCAGGCTGAGATGGGAGTATCACTTCCAAGTCAGGAGTTCAGAATAAACCACAGATAAGTGACATGTGAAACCCATCTCACTAAAATACAAAAATTAGCCAGGCATGGTGGTGGTGCCTGTAATCCCAGCTACTCAGGAGGCTGGGCTTGGGAGAATCACTTTAACCCTAGAGGTGGAGGTTGCAGTGAGCCAAGATTGCGCCACTGCACTCCAACCTGGGCGACAGAGACTCCATCTCCAAAAAATAAACCATCAAATAGAAATAAAAAAATAAATTTAGGCTAGCGCAGTGGCTCATACCATAATCCCAACTCTTTGGGAGGCAGAGGTGGATGGATCATCTGGGGTCAGGAGTTTGGGGACCAGCCTGGCCAACATGGTGAAATCCTGTCTCCACTAAAAATACAAAATTGTGGGCATGGTGGTACATGCCTGTAATCCCAACTACTCAGGAGGCTGAGGCAGGAGAATTGCTTGAACCTGAGAGGTGGAGTTTGCAGTGGGAACAAGATTGCTTCCCTTGTACTTCAACCTGAGCAACAAGAGCAAAACTCTGTCTCAAATAAATAAAATATAATAAAATAATTTAAAAATAATAAAATTTTAAAAAATGGATGGTAGAGGCACCAGCTTTCCAGGGAGAACCACTTGCCCCAGACCTGCCTTCCCCTACTCGAAACCTGACCCCTTAGAAGCTCCTCACCCACACCCCTAGGACCTATGCTTGGAGTTTCTGGAGCAGAAGTCCTGAGAGCTCTGCCACCACAACCCCCAACCCAGCTGAGACAGATCCTAGACTCCAAGCCTTCAAGACTACCCATTCAACAGACTTGTAAACTGGGCCCAGAGAGAAGCGCTGTAACTAGCCGAAGACCGCAGAGCCAACCGCAGACTGAGGTCTTCTGTTCTCAGTCCAGTGCTTGTGAACATAGGGAAGACACCCCAGCGTCCGCCTGGCCTCTGTATAAGAGCCTTCCCTGCTCCCCAGCCTCACCTGCCTCAGTTGCTTGAAGCCACAGCAAGGAGGATGAGGACACCCAGGAACACAGTCTGTGGCGGTATACTCATCTGTATGTCTCAGCCCAGGTGTCTGCAAAGGGACATAGGAAGACCTGCTATTTAAGATGCTGGCTCCACCCACAAGCCTCGCCGCCTCTTGATCACGGGGTGCCGAGTCACTTGACATTCACATCTCAAGGAGAACTACCTCCTTCCTCCAAAGTGGAGAAATTCTCTTTGGTAGGGTACTCAGAAGTTTGAAAATCTAATATCCTCTCCCTCTGGTTTCAGAGAGACTTGCAAAATCCCCCTCTTAGAGGCTTGTGCTCCCCAGGGTCTCCACGCTGTGTGGCCTTGTCTAGCTGTCTCTGGGACTTGGTTTCCCCATCTGGAAGTAAGGGAGATGGTTTCACAGCCTGTTGACTTCTGGTTGTAAATCAAGTGAGAATGTGGACCAACCCTCACCTGGAATTGAGGCCTGTCTTGTACCATAATGACAGCATCACTGATCTCTCTTCAATGGGAGGCCTATGGACCATTGACCCATCATAGCCTCTTCTGGGGCTTCTCGCGAAGTCCACATTTGGGCCAGGTCTTAGATTTCTCAGCGGTTTATGAAAGTGTCCACCACACTTCTATCCTGCCTGATTTTCCTTCCCAGTGGCTGCCAGGCTCTCCCTCCCCTACTCCCGTCTCAGTCCCTCACCATGTCCATGTCCTGTTGATTCTGCTTCCTAAATCTCTCTCAGATCTGCTTCTTCTCTCCAACCCCACTGTCCTTGCCCAGTCAAGACCACCTCCACCTCAGGCTGGGATATGGCCCCCCTCAATGCCATTCTTACCCTGCAGCAGCCAGAGTGCGTGGTCCCAGGCTACACACTCTCTCTCCTGCTTCAAAAAACCCTGCTGTGGCTCCCCATTCACCTAAGAGGGCAGGGCCTGGGCTCCTGTCTGTGGCTCAGGCCCGTTTCCGGACAGGCCTTTCCCCACTGGTCTCTCCCTCCCTGGGGGATCACACCACCTCCTCACAGTTCCTCTCAAAAGGGACTGCGGCTGTCCTGGCCTTTAATGTCACTTTCACATCTCTACCGCATAAACTCCTGCTTGTCGTCAAAGCCTGTTTGAAATGTCATGTCCTTGGTAAGACACCCTCTCCAGGACTTCAAGCCTTCTGAGGGACCTGGAATGTGGCCCTGGGCAGACTGTCAAGTTTCTCTTTATCAAGCCCCTCCCTAGAAGCCAGACTCCAAGCTCTAGGAGGCTGGGGTCTCCTTCATTTTCCTGACATTTCCCGGGGGCTTCTGAGGATCAGGCACATGGTAGGTGCTTGGAACACATGGGCTGGGCATGGTGGCTCATTCCTGTAATCCTGTAACCCCAGCACTTTGGGAGGCCCAGGCAGGTGGATCACCTGAGGTCAGGAGTTCAAGACCAGCCTGGCCAACATGGAGAAACCCCATCTCTACCAAAAATACAAAAATTGGCTGAACATGATGGCACGTGCCTGTTATCCCAGCTACTCGGGCGGCTGAGACAGGAGAATCACTTGAATCCGGTGAGAGGCAGAGGTTACAGTGAGCCAAGATTGCACCACTGCGCTCTAGCCTGAGTGAGAGAATGAGAGTCTATCTCAAACAAACAAACAAACAAACAAACAAAAACAACACATCTAATGAAAGAGAGAAGCAGGAGTTCAGGAAGAGGACTTGCCCAGCTCACACAGCCACACAGGCTACGCCAGGCCTGGAACTCAGAACTTGGGACTCCATTTATAAAGGGAGCCATTCCTTCATCCAGTTCCTTCATTCAGCAAATATTTGTTGAACCCTGTAAATAGACAGAATAAACCCCCTAAATGTCCACATTCTAATCCCAAAACCTATGAATATGTTACCTTATGTGGTAAAAGGACTTTGCAGATGTGACTGTTTAGGGTTTAGGATTTTTGTTGTTGTTGTTGTTTTAAAGGCAGGATCTCACTCTGTCACATAGGCTGGAGTGCAGTGGTGCAATCACAGCTCACTGCAGCCTTTGACTTCCTGGGCTCAAGCGATCCTACTGCCTCGGCCGCTTCTAGTAGCTGGGAATACCAGGTATGTGCCACCGTGCGCCTGCTAATTTTTATTTCTTCTAGAGATGGGGGTCTCACTATGTTGCCAGGGCTGGTCTCAGACTCCTGGCCTCATGTCTCTACCTCGGCCTTTTGAAGTGCTAGGATTATAAGGTGTGAGCCACCATACCTGACCTAGAATCTTTAAAGAGGGAGATTTCTTGGATTATCTGGACAGGCCGAAGGCAATCACAGGGTTATTTCAAAAGGGAGGCAGTGGGTCAGAGTCAGAAGAGATGATGGATGACAGAGCAGAGGTCCCAGTGACGTGGAACTCTGAACCCAGGGATGCAGGTGGGTTGGAGAAGCTGGAAGAGGTAGGGAAACAGATTCTCCCCTAGAGGCCTCCGAAAAGAACTTATCTCTCCTACACCTTGAGTTTAGTCCACTGAGACTGATTTAGGACTTCTGACATCTCAGGCTATTGGATAATAAATTTGTGATGTTTTAAGCCACCAAGTTCATGGTCATTTTGTTATAGCGGCAGAAGAAGCTCATAAAAGCACCTACTATGTGCAAGTGCACTGCCAGAGCCTGGGAAGGCAGCCTGAACAGGAAGGCAAGGCCCCTGCTCTGATGGAGTTATCTTCACAACAGACAAACATGGCAAACAACGTAATGTCAGGCTGGGGAGGAACACCAGAGCGAAATGAAACAGAGAGGCAGCTTTGGGATAGGCAGTGAAAGGCCTCTAGAAGGGGGTGACATTTCAGCTGAAATTCAAAGATAGAAGGGAGGCCAGGCACAGTGGCTCATGCTTATAATCCCAGCACTTTGGGAGGCTGAGGCAGGCAGATCATTTGAGGTCAGGAGTTCAAGACCAGCCTGGCCAACATGGTGAAACCCCATCTCTGCAAAAATACAAAAATTAGCCATATGCGGTGAGTGCGCACCTGTAATCCCAGCTACTTGGGAGGCTGAGGTAGGAGAATCGCTTGAAGCCAGGAGGCAGGCAGAGGTTGGGGTAGGGTGCACCACTGTACTCCAGCCTGGGTGGCAAAGCGAGACTCCATCTCAAAAAAAAAAAAAAAAAAAAGAAAAAGAAAAAAGATAGGAAGGAGCCTGCCGAGAGACAGCAGATGCAAGGCCCAGACAGGCCGAGAGGCTGAACAGCTGAGACAGAGTGGGTAGAGACAGAACGGGTGGGGATGCAGGCGCAGCTGATGGAGAGGCTGGCAGGCAGGGACCATAGGGCTCCGTGGGCTCCTGCTAGGATGCAAGCAGAGTGCACGGCATCACCTCAGAGGACCTCTTGTCAAAAGCCCTGACCCAGGACCAGTCACAAAAGAACAAATACTGTATGATTCTGCTGCTTTGCAGGAACCTGGAATAGTCCCATTCACAGAGACAGAGAGGCAGAATGGTGGTGCCCAGGGGCTGGAGGTGGGGGGCCAAGCGTTAGAGTTAGAGGACACAGTCTCCGTTTTGCAAGATGAAAGTTCAGGAGAGTGGATGATAGTGATGGTTACTAACAATTAATAAAATATGCTGAATTCCACTGAACTGGACACTTAGAAATGGCTACAATGGTAAATGTATGTTATTCATATTTTTACCATTCTTTTAAAAGGTGCTTCCCTAGGGATAAATCAAGTCCTAGTATTCATTACCAGTTGACAAGAAATACAGGGGCTAGAGGAAGAAGATAAATGGCCCCACGAAGAAGCAATCCAGACAACGCAGAGGTGGAAACTTCCAAGATGCTCTTTGCAGGATAACTGTCCTCAGATCATCAAGAGAGTTAATGTCGGTCGGTCTTGGTGGGCTCAAGCCTGAGCACTTTGGGGAGGCTCTTTGTCCCGTCAGACCACTTGAGGTCAGGAGTTTGAGACCAGCCTGGCCTACGTGGTGAAACCCCATCTCTACTAAAAATACAAAATTTAGCTGGATGTGGTGGTGCATGCCTGTAGTCCCAGCTACTTGGATGGCAGAGGCATGAGAATCACCTGAACCTACCTGGGAAGGAGGTTGCAGTAAGCCAAGATCATGTCACTGCACTCCAGCCTGGGCAACAAAGTGAGACTCTGTCTCCAAAATTTAAAAAAAAGTTAATGTTGTTTTAGAAAAATAATAAAGTGAATAGAACATTTATGATTAAAAAGAGGGCTTAAGAGACATAGCAGCCAAATGCAATTCATGGACCTTCGATTGAATCCTAGTTTTGAAAAAACAGTCAGGGCATAGTAGCTCATGCCTGTAATCCCAGCAGTTTGTGGGTCTGAGGCTCACTTGAGGCCAGAGTCCTATACCAGTCTGGGCAACACGGTGAAGCCCTCTCTACAAAAAATACAAAAAATTAACCGAGTGTAGTGGCATGTGCCTGTAGTTCCAGCTACTCGGGAAGCTGAGATGGGAGGATCACTTGGGCCCAGGAGGTGGAGGTTACAGTGAGCCAAGATCACGCCTCTGCACTCCAGCCTGGGTGACAGAGCAAGACCCTATCTCAGAAAGAAAAAGAGGAAAACAGAGGGCCAGGCGCGTGGCTCACGCCTGTAATCCCAGCACCTTGGGAGGCGAGGCAGGTGCCTGAGGTCTGGAGTTCAAAACCAGCCTGCCAAAATGGTGAAACTCCATCTCTACTAAAAATACAAAAATTAGCCTGGTGTGGTGGTGCGCACCTGTAGTAACCTCAGGAAGCTGAGATAGAGTAATTGCTTGAACTCAAAGTGGAAGTTGCCGATGAGCCAAGATGGCACCACTGCACTCCAGTCTGAGCAACAGTGCAAATTCATCTCAAAAAAAAAAAAAAAAAAAAGAAAAAGAAAAAACAGCTCTAAAAAAAAGATCTTTTGGGGACAGTGTGGAAATGTGGAAATGTGACTATGGGCTGAATAGTATAGTAGATTATTAGTGCTTTATTGTTGATTTTCTTCAGTGTAATGTAGGAAAATGTCCTCATTCCTAGAAGATGAAGTATTTAGGGATAAAGGTCATAAAACACTGAAGTATTTAGGGATAA